ACCACTTCTAACAGCGCCAGCATTTGATCAAATTGAACAGTTCTTCTCCAGATGTCGGTAGGGGACGAATATGTGAGTTCCAGGGTCGTTTCACGAAGAAGAAATAGATGGGATAATCGAAATGACAACTGTATAGGCGTGAGCTTTCGGACTGATATAGAGGCCCATCTAACAGGTTAATGTTCTTGTCGATCGGTACGACGTCTTCCAGAATCCATTCTAGTAGCCCGTTTAAGTTTTTCCGACTTTAATGGCCTATTTTTAATCGCGAACTTTTTGTTTCCAGGTCCTTCGCTCGCACACGATTGGTTTGTAAACAGTGCTCCGATTAAACCCATCGGACTTATATTTCACAGTAGTTTGAACGGAGAGCAGCATAGAGTATATAGAAAAATATACTACACCTATAACCACCACTTAGAACCTACTCCCCCTAAGAATTTGTATTTTCGTCTACTGCTACAGCTTCTTTTACCTTGAACACCATAATTTTTAGGGGTTCCATACTTATGCAAAATATTCACCATCTTCAACATTTTCTTGCGGCATTCTCTGTTGAAATTTCTTTTTGACCGCAAGCCTTTTTACAAACTCCATTGAAATAATTACGTATTTTCATTTGACAAACATCCGAATGCCGAATAGCATAGAAAAACCAGGTAGACAGTATACAAATCGACTGTTTCAATCATTTTTTGGATGTGGTCAAAAATCACCATCGAAACGAGCATGTTTGCAAGTACAAATGATTAAGACTAAGAGATCGCATACCCATCATCCTTAAATTTCCTTTGGCCCAAATGTGATAAACGCGGTGGCCTCGGTGGGATTCGAACCCACGCCAGCAAGGGGAAGGCTTTAGTACAGCCAACGCTCTAACCAACTGATCTATAAGACCCCCACCGGGAGTCGTGAGTGTTAATCGCACCTGGATCAATTTATCCGCCAAGCAGATTGCATCACACGGAATCCATCAATTATGATACAATAAGCTGACTGCCCAAGCAGGATTTCCTAAGCGATCAGTCTAGAATCTATCAGATGTCTACCAGGCACACTTAACAGAGGGATTTAACGGATTGGAATAATCCCTTTGACCCAACTGTGAAAGAGTCCTTGGCCCACGCTAGGGGGCTGGCGGTTCAATTGGCAAGAGCGTTGGTTGTATCAAAGCCTTCCCCTGGCTGGTGTGGGTTCGAATCCTACCGAGACCGCCGGGTCTTTCACAATTGGGTCAAAGGACTTATTTAAATCTGCCAAACCCCTCTGATAACTCTTAGATTTACTTAATAAGCATTAAGTGAACTGGGCTATTTTCATGCGTACATGCGTCAAAGGACAGAATTTCAACTAGCTAACAATGAGGCACACAAGTATAGACCTACGCACCATGTCAAGACGGTAGGCCTCCGTAGCAGAATCAAGCGCGTAAACTGCCTGCAGGGGATCCCTGACGGACTGCAGTTGGCGCATAAGGGAATCGTAGAGTTTTCGCGGAAGAGTAGTCGGTGGAGCTGACCCGTCAATTTCGTTACCTAAGAAAAACTGTTAGTCTGTGATTGACACCCTCAACAGGCAGATGTACGATTGGAATGCATAGGCAATCATGGCTGGCTAGGTAACTCATCCAGGCGAAGTAGTCGGCGGGGGGTAAGTCACAGGCTGCCGCATCTTCAGCTGCATCGATCACCTAGGATGTTTAAGAACTCGCTGAGTCTTACATTGAGTGCAACGTAATGGTTTTTTAGAAGGACCTTCTTGCAAGCCGGAAGGACAATTGAGTGTAGCACCTCCCGTTCAATGTCAAATTCGTGCAGGCGTGCAAATATGAAGACGTAAACTTCCATAGAAATTTTCCCTAGCTCCGAGTTAATGTGTGTGAACACGCTAACCGTAATTGCAGAAGTGAGGTAGACAAAAAGTGGGCTGGTTTCTTATGGATTGCTAGAATGCGGGCGAGGCTGGTGACCTGCCTGAATTCGCTCTTATTGTGGCTGAAATTCACGCGTAAATTTGCCTAGATTTCGAAAGAATCATATGAAAAGTGTGCAGGTGGACTAAGTGGTGGCAAACAGAAACCATATTGTTACTTGAGTTATTTTTTTGTGCCGAAAACTCACCACCGTTAAAAACTTCAATTAACTTCTTTTCTGGCGACAGGAGAAAACATTTCAACATTGCCACGCTAAATATAGTGCAACTTGCTTCTGAAGGCAAACCGCGATTCGGGGAAAAACGCGAAACGAAAGGCATCCTGTCTGAGGTTTTTGTTTGACCATGCGGCAAGGACGTAATATGCGATCCCACTCAGGCAACAAAGGATAGTTTAGCATGTAATAGAAGACCGATGGCAATGGAGGTTTTATGAGTGGGCTACATCCAGGAAAAGAGTGTACCAACTGAATTCAAACCCTATCCATCGTGTTCGGTAATATTACTGGCTTAGTAGGATTATCGCAGGGAGTTAAGAAAGTTAAACCCAAGGAACTGCGATCTTCAGACAATGGTTACTTAGTAGAGAAGAAGCCGCTAGGGGCCAGAGTAGTAGGAACGGTATATTGTGTACACAGAGGAACGAAAAATAATAGGGAAGAAGATTGACTACGTAGAGCACGACCTTCCGCTAGAGCGGCGTGATCCGAAGTGCAGCATAGTTGCAGGAAAGCCCCGCGGCCCAGAGAGCCAGCGTTCACGCGCGAAAGCTTGCTATTCGTCGCCGGCCCAAAAGGCATCTGTACGGCAACTGTGATTGGCTGTTCAAAGACGTCGAGAACCGCATCGGTAAGCCTTTGGGAAAGTTCATTTCGACGCAACAATAGTTTGTTGCCCCGAAACGTATGCAGCTTGCGAGAGCCGGTTGCTTTACGTCACACTGACCACTATGTCCACTGGCGTACAGTTGAACGCTTTATACATATTGCATAGAGCTTTACTATCGTTTATCGTCAGTTTGATCTATTATGGGAGACAAAACTAAACGTGTATATCAGCTTGTAAAAGTTCCGGCGAGAGAGGCACTCGAACTCAAAACCTCTAGTTCGCTGGTATCAGCCGTTACCACCACACCATCGGGGTCCACTGTAGACGCTAATTTAATTTCGTTTAAAAGTTCTTGTCGTAATTTCGAGGGCAGAAATCGCAAGATTGATGCGACGAAATCGCCCCC